GATGTTTCCACTGGCACAGACCACGAAGAAGAAGACAGGAAGTAGTTGGAGGGTTAAGGCACAGCATGTCAAACTTATTCACCTGTGATTTTAAATGCATTTTCTATTTAATGGAAACACTGCAATTGTAAAACGATGTTTTTTTGACAACGTTTGCTCAAATTTCAGCTCCTCTAATCTGTCTGTGCTGAGTTACAACAATGGATCTAATCACATATATACCAGTGAAATAGTTACTGACAGTTAATGCAGAACATGAAACATCATGTCTGAAATCTTGTTCGTCTTTAATCCCACCTGAGACTGAGAGCTGCAGAGAATCCTGGTCCAGGAGCGGTTTGACATTTAAATTCCTTTTTAGCTGGAGCATTTTTGTAACAATTCAATCCATCTCATCATCCAGACTCCCTGGTGGATCACCTCTAGTGTAATCATTGCCCAGAGAATGCATTTGCCATATTTATCAGCAGTAATGATGAACCAAAGTGCAAAATGGTGATACAAAATGAACATAAAAAAATAAAAAAGATGTGATTGATGTCGAATACTTGGCAAGCCGGCACTTTGGGGAGCTGAATAAAAGATTCCCCTTTGGGCAAGAAACTCAGAGGGAAGAAATTTAGAGCACTTTAATGTCTGTGTCTCTAGTTTTGACAAACATCTACATACATAGACACACTCACTGTCTTTCTCTCACACACACACACACACACACACACACACACACACACCCCTCCACACACACACCCCTCCACACACACACACACACACACACACACACACACACACACACCCCTCCACACACACCCCTCCACACACACACACACACACACGCACACACACCCCCACACACACACACACACACACACACACACACAGTTTTATGTCCCAGACCCAAACTCTCTTGCTCCCTCTCCTGCTCCCTGCAAAGACTTTAATGTCTGTGTTCGTCATTTGATTTCCATTTCACTTCTCTCCCATGCAAAGTCCTGCAGGGTTAACCCTCCCTCCCCCAGGAATCATGAGCTCGCACACGGACCCAGCTCCAGTAACGCTGTTGGCAGACATCTGGAAATGTTTTGGCCCTGCGCTGGCGGTCACTGTCTGGACCAATAGAGACCATAGCTCAACCTTCACATTGTGACAAGACTTCATATATCTCTCTGTGACCTTGTGTACAGTATAGGAACCCTCCGTTTCCCTCAGGGCTGCACCCCGAGCCCCTCAGCTCCCTCCGCCTCATGTACCCTTCTCTTTTGTTTCCCACCAGGTTCTTCGTGCCACACAGGGAGGAGCGTTTAGCTTAGTTTGCAAAATTAATATGCAGGTGAAAGACACTAAGACAAAAATAAACACAGGAAGAGGCAAAAGCCCATTGGGATTATATGAAAACTACATCCAAATAATATAGAAAAATATATATAATACAAGAATGTAGTAAAATACAATCATTAAGAGAACAGAAACATAAAAACCCATCTAAGTGTTAAATTGCCAGTATTGTATGTTTCCAGGCACATGGGGCCGTTTTGTAGCACAATCAGGTGACTGTTATCTGAAAATGTTATAAAAATGCGAAATATATGTAAATATGACTTTAAAGAACTGCAATATTTAATACCTTGAAATGTCTGGGCCTCTGTCTCTTTAAAAACTCCTGCTCTTTCTAAAACTCTGCCTTCAGGAAGTCATCACATCTCTCCTCTATTAACCTTTCAGCATCATTTTTACCAGCGTCTCACTGAGAAGCAGCTCGTACAACGAGCTCACCTGATGTGCAGCTACACCAGGTGTTTGCTAACTGCTGCTGGCTAGTCTGAAGGAGCTGAGAGGAGATACAGAGAAGGCAGAAGCTCAGAGGCTTGGAAAATGCAACGAGGAGGAGGAGTCATGCCTCAAAGGCGGAGCTAGGACCACCCAGGAGATTGAAGGCTTTCTCAAACATGTATTAAAGAATCAAAGCGACATTCCCGGTATGTTTTTGAAGAGGAAGTAACATTATAACATGAGTTAAACCTCAGAAAAGCTGATTTTACGTAACAGTGCTTCCTAAATAAAATTTTAAAAGTACAGATTAAAATAACCTTTGCACTCTTTTACAGAAGCTCTGCCTTTTACAAAGTGCAAAAACCATTCCAACCTTTAGCACCAGAGAGAAAAACAGACCTCTACTGGTCTAGTATTTAGGAAGCGCTGAACTCTGGGGAGTTCAGTAAGATTGAAACTGCATATTTGATGTCTAGTAATGGTATATCCTCTTGAATTTTAGAAATTTAATAAAAATACAAATCTGAAAAATATATTGATATAGAAAGTAAGATTCTGTAGATTCTTAGAGGAACAGCGGGACGATGATAGTCTGAGATTTATGCAACGTTGTGAGAAAAAAATACTTCTCCATTTATTACAATAGGTTAGATATGGTATAGCACTCGATAATAAAGTGCAAACAGACATTCTGCAGTGATATAATGCCTAACACTGTATTATACCAATGGATTTATGTATTTTTCACAAATTTAAGGTCTACTCTGATAATTTCCCATCAAACTGAGACAGGGATCAATGGAAGTCGAGATCATTCCCATCATTCCTGCCACTCCGACGTTTCCTTGCAACACACAAATCCACTGATATTGGAGCAGCTCTCATGTGGCGAGTCGGCATGCTCTTATTGTGTTTTTCTGCTGTGGTTTTGTTGGTAATCACATCTTTCTGAGGCTAACAAAATTTAATATACAGCACATTAATCATCCCTGTTATTAACTGGTGACTGCTTGTCCACTGAGCTGTGGTAACTCCAAACCTCTAATACTGTGGGACTGTTTTATATTTTATCATTGTCTAGAAAAGAACTGCGATTTGATTTGACCCTGATAAGAACTATTTCTGTGAGTTTGAGAGCTTCTATTTCCTGTTGATCAAATATCCCCAAATATATACTTTCATTTTTCATTCTGCAGACAGCTGGCTACTGCTGTTGGCAGCTTACAGTGCAGTCATCATTTGTATATTTGTATTACTGATGCGGGTTTAATATTTCAGGCACCATTTCATTCTGTTCAAAACATATGCACAGCCCTGTTTAATTGCCAGACTTGTTGTGATCTAAAGCCTTTGGCTAGTTTGGCATAATTAATCTGATTAAATGGAAATAAAGTTGTATTTTCCTAGCAAAATTATTAATTTTTATCTTGTTTCTAAAAACGTTTGCAGGGAAGCTATTGTAAGGGATCAAAAGTACATTATTTCTCAAAGGTATCAGTCAGGAGAAGAATACAAGAAGGATTATTTATCCACCAGGCAGAGAGTGAAGTCGGGATCCACCAAGATCAAGACTGAGACCGAAACATTTCAGGACTTTGAGGTATTTTTGCACCCTTCAAAATGGAAAAATAATGAGAAAAAAAGTTAATTACTCTAAACAAGTCACTGCTTGGTATTTAGTTAATAATTGTCATCATAAACTACTATAAAATGTATTAAATGCAATCAGCAGAACTGAATTCATCAGCTTATAGTCAACAATAATAGTAATAAACTTAAAAAGCACAAAAGAGTTAAAATTATTTGACATAGCAGGTATGGAGTTAAGAGTGGCCAGGAAGAACATGGGGGAGCACGGAAGTGGCATCATCATGATCTGGTGGTTACTTTCATTGACAAGAAGCTGTTCTGTCTCTCCCTCTTCTTTGCTAAAGGTCAATAAAAGGGTGAACAGATCAAATTACCTGACGATCTGTACATATTTTCTCAACATCACACTGAGTCCAGACAAATTAATACAAATATTATTTCATAAGAGGAAAACTGAAGTTTTTGACGGTCCGAGTCACAGGGACGAGAAATGTTCTCACCGTCTGATCGATTGGGAAAACTTGCAAGGTAAAATAAGCAAGTACTGTCAGGTCCAGATGTGGAGCAGAAATATCTTCCTAAGTTGTTTCCTATCTGCCAAGGTTAGAGGTTCGTGCTGCAGTTAATCTTCTGATGGTCAAAGAGCCATCTGAGAAAACGTGTTTTTATTTCTCTGACTAACTTAACGCCAAAGGGATTATTTAGATTGTTAGCTCAGAACAGCTGCAACCGAAAGTGAAAAAAAAAGTGTAAATTTGCTTGGATGCCATTTGTGGTATTTGCTTCAGGAACAACAGATGAAGCAGATGCTGAATGTTAATTACAGAAAAAATGTCCACAAATTTCAATATTCAATGTGTCAGATGATACTGAGGCCGATTCCCCTGCAGCTACAGGATATTTTATTACAGAGAAACCAAATCTCTATTCTTCTCTTTTCTTTAAGTTTACAGTGACAGAGGAAAAGGAAATAGTTCATGAACGCAAGGTTAGATTCCTAACAGGTACATTTTTAGAGGAGACGGTCATTCTGACCTTCATTTGGAGCTAGTTGGGGTCTGAACATAGAGACCTCCAAATAAGCTGGTGTGAAATAGTCTGTAAAAATCTGCACTGCTAAGCAGTTAATTTTTTCTGTGGTAAGAGAAAATTTTATTAATTTTTTTAATGAAAGCAATAAATCCTTTTTTCTTATGCATTCCACCCCTTGTTTGAGCAATCTCTCCATCTTTACGGCTTTCTGTGCCCCGTTAAGATTTCACTTTGTCCTTGACGCTTCCTGGTCTGGGTCTGTCCCAGGATCTAGCATCACCTCCAATTCCCCTCCTTCATCCTTCCAGTTTACTCCACTTAAGTCGGAGCAAAGTCATATTTTAAGAGGCCTTTTATGTAAGCTATTTATCTACGGAGACATGAAGGAGCGAGGCGGGGAGGAATCGGAGATTAGCCGGCAGAGACAGACGCATTTATTTGGCCGTAACAGCATGTGGAAGGCACGAATGTTAGCGGATCCACAGTTTGTCAAAAAAACAGTGACCTTTACTGGGAAACGGAGTGTGTTCTCTCTGTCATGTATCAGATATTACCCTTCAGTGTCAGTGTAACGCATGAGTGTTTGTGTGTTTCGGACTATAAGACGGGTATGTGTTATTTTTTGACTTTTATTTTCGTACACGGGGAATGATGTACGTTCCACGCAGAGAGAAAGACAGAGTGAGCAATCGAAAGGATGTGTGAAACCTCCAAACTATTTCCCTGGGCTGCTGGTGGAACAGACGTATTTTTCAGGATGTAGCAGCATGTGGGCCCGGGCGCTGTTTATCCAGGATGACACCCTTCACATCCATTCATCAACGTCCCGTCAGACCTCCACTGACCTTGGGTCTCCGCCTGCGAGTCCGGAGAAAAAAACATAAGGAAAGACGAGTTTGAAAGGAGTGATGGAATGTGGTCAGTTTTTCCTTCTTGGGTGCTATTTTAATTTGTGTCTCAGCGGGACAGAGGTGTCCCCGCTAGCTGCCTGAATAAAAATACAAAATATCCAGCAAATTCAGGTGAAAAAACCCACAATAATCAAGGGTAACAAGAAGAAAACTGACTCTGAAGTAATATGTCTTTTCAGTTGTGACAGGAATGTTTATCACAGCAAGAAGTGTGAATCTGTGTGTGCCTGAGCGAAACATAACTGGACGTTTGTTATCGCAACATCTTAATTTTATTCAGCACGAGGCTCAGGGCCCTGCAGGTGCCCAGGTGACAGATGGTCGAGCCGGACGGGGGTCCTTCCTTCTGTAAGTTATAGATGGACATCTTGTCCAAAACACACATGATCACAAGGAGAAAAAGGCAATTAGGGCTGAATGGGAGTGCATGGGGAAGCTTGATAATGAGTTTTACAACCCACACCTTCAATCCTGACATGTTTCTACAAAAGGAACAAACGGTGGTTTCTTCAAGGGCAAAAACATAAAAAAATTAATTAAGTGATTATCATGCATGTCTTTAGTTCTTTGATTTTGACCAATAGGTGGATTATAAGATGACAGTTCAAGTTCAATCAAAAAAAATTATAACATAGCTTTAAAGAAGTTAGGAGACAGTTTTGATGCTCAACTTCCTCAACAGGCCTGAGGTGGCGCTGCACCAAGACCCATTGAAGGAAACATGAAAGCCTTTGCAGAAGACATTGAGCATAACTTCCTTTTTCTCAAAACATAAAACAAATATGGAGTAGCATCAGATTTGAACAATTTCTCCTTTGTCTTTGGTAAAGGACTACGAGCCATTTCTCCCGCTAGCACTAGATTAGCACGTTTGTTTGTATTTACCCAGAATGCCCCGCGGTATAGACCTGACAACGATCTCAGGTCCATTTGCAGTCAAACACGGCTTTGAGCCGCACCACAGATCACTTCAACCGGTAGACCAGAGTTCGTTTTGGTCCGCGTCAGAGTTTGGTTATGTATTCACACTTCTCCAACCAAACCAGTCTCAAAACAAACCAGTTTGATTCAAATGGACCAAATACAAGTGATGTAAACACTCTCTCAATCAGTTTCCAAGTGCCAGAATTTTGAGCCAATTAAATTCCAGCAGTTGTGAGGTGAGAATTGTCTAACATAAGGGGGAAAATAGAGGGTACATTTAAATTAGATATTCCAGCGAAGAGTCATCTATCTAATGCCTCTCACTTATACATAATTGGGTCGTGGAAGTAAAATGTCCAAGACGGAAAGCCCAGACATCCCTCACGCTTCCCAGCTCCTCCTGGGAGATCCCAAGGCACATTCAGATTACTCCGGGGAGGTCGAGATCTGCCCCAGGTCTTCTACCACTAGAATGTGTGCAACATCCAGGAGACATATTAGCTAAATGTTCAAACCACCTCTCATGATGTAGAGGAGCAGAAACTCTGGTGAGAGCTGTTTGAGGCGAGGAGATGAGGCTCCTTACCTCGTCTTCTAGGCAGAGCCCTGCCACCACACAGCCGAAATAACTCTTTATGTATGGCTGATACGCACCTTACTAGAAGTGAACACTTTCATTCATGATGGCATAAATTCACCACGAGTTGTGCTTCCATTATAAATGTGCACAAAATTTAGTGATCTTTGGCTGATGTCAAAAAAACACAATTATAATTGCATAATTGTCACACAGTTTTAATATGAAACAATTAAAATGTCCTGCTCACAAGATCCTGCCTGCATCTCCCTGCTGGAGGGCAAAAAGCTGTTTGTCAATGATAACTACCATTGGTTTAAGTTGAAAAAAATCAGGAAAAGTTTTAATTAACAAAAAAAAAAAAAAAGCGAGGGATAGGAAAGGAGGTCAGTTATTCTTGTTGGACTTTGAAAACCTTAGCATGTAGATATGATGTGGAATTTGGCGTCTTTGAGTTCAACTGAAAAATAAAAAAAGTTGACACCAACTCAGAAGAGAAGAAGTTTAAATGAGCTCATCTATATTAGCTTAGCTTAAGCTGTGCAGGCTAAAAGCAAAGGCTAATACAACAGCATAACTTAACTGCCGATTTATCCACGACGTAGCGCTCATTTTAGTCGCCAGGGTCACATAACTTGCACACCGATGTGAACGTAACAGCTGTCCGTCGGCAGGTTAAAAAAAGCCGAAATGTCTCGCTGCACACGCCGCTTTCTCTTCCTCTGCCATCTCGATCTGTATGGAACGCTAGTAGGTCAGGTCGCCCTCTGGTGGGCGCACCAAGATACTGCAGCGTTACTAAGAAAATATGTAGCACAGGAACTCTTACAAAAATCATACATAAGTATGTTCATGAGAAAGGTCATTAAAAAAAGAATACCAGGTCAAACTACTTCCTGTCGTCTTCTTCTTTGTGGTTAGCGCTAGTGGAAACATCTGGTTCTTTACCATGATTGTATGTGTTTTGCCAAATTTACCAATTTTGATACAGCCAAAAACCCACCTCATCCTACGTCTAACACATTTTATTGTAAAATTTGATTTTTAAAGCACTGAATTTATTGACAGAAACTAAATGTGAAAAACCATCTAGCTTTTTTAAAAAATACTGCTCCATCTAGATTTGATATTGTATCGGAGGTTTCTTGCAACCATGCAATTATATCCCACTGCTGTATTTTGTAATCTGGAATATATTTGTTGTTTTTGTTGTATATTGGATCAGTGTTCTGTCAATACGCCCACAGGACCAGACCATCTGCAAAGATCTAATAAAAACGCCCTGCCACCTCTAAACTAGATACATTCCTCTACATGAATCTCTAAATCCTGAGATGCTGGCCATAAAGACCATAAAAATGTTTAATGGCAAGACACAGCTAGCCAGTATGAGGTATTAGAATTATTTCTATAAACTCTGATTGGACTGTAAAATTGTGATTAGTTTCACCTCCCGTCTGATATTCCCCTTGTGTTTTATTAAAAGTTATGTCTCTGTATATATTGATTTTTTTTTTTTTACTTACAAATCCAACTCAAACAAACTTTTAAAAATGTCCAGTCCAAACTTTAAGGAAAAAAAAAATCAAAGTATTCTTTGCAGAAATGCACTTTTTTAGGAGGATTTTAAGGAAATTGAAATGCTTTGATAAAGCCCTTTAGCCTCCAGCAGTAATATATCATGCAGGTGCTGACCTGTATATTAGCTCTTTATGTCGTGTTTATGACCATCGACAAATCAGTTAGTCCACAGGATATTTACACCAGGTTCCTGGCAGCCTCCTTCATTCTCAGTGTGCTCAAGTTCTCTGTGAGACTGCATTATGGTTAAACCTTTCTCCACCCAACTAACCCCTAAAACACACGCACGCACACACACACATATATCCACAGCTTTTCTGGGTCCAGTTATTTATGGTACAGGGGTACAACCACCTTCCATCCAATTAAAGCTGAGTGCTGGCTTTGTGCAGGCCACTCTTCATCATTCCCCTCAAAGGGGTTGTTAGGACAGGAGGAACTGTGCTCTCGGTTTCCAGCTCAGCTCCTTTCCAGGGTCGCGGGAGTCTGGCTTTAAGAAAAATGTCACTGCTCATCACCTTACAAGCGAATTATTTAAATGCCGCTCAGATGATTGAGGCCGAAGTTGAAAGACGACGCAGCTTGATTCATTCCAGATCAATGGAGGTTAAGAAGCACATTGAAGCCAAAACTACTTCAACATCATTTTTTCATATTATTACAATTGTAAATTTTCCACCCATCCTTGAGTTATTTTTCCCCACTTTTTTCAAAGTGCCTTGTCTGCAGAAACCCCAATGTAGCACAGAAGGAGCTGAAAGGAAAAGCGAAGCTCTTGCTTTTCTGCTTCGTCCACATCCAGGCTTTCAAAGATGGATCTAACACCTGGATTGTCACTTTAAGACGCTCCATAATACAAGAGGCTCCCACTGCAGGACGGAGAGGCTTCGCCTTGGTGGTCCAGAGGTCGAACTGTCGACGTGCGGTCATGTGGTTTTAGGATGTTTGTTTGCACAAGAATGACTGTCACAAGTTTACAAATTTGTAGGAGGAGGCAATAACAATTAACAGGCTGGAAAATCTCATTTTATTTTTCACATTATCTGGAAAAACGAGCGGGAGGCATTGGTGCATCGGATCAGAAATGAGCAGCGGGACTTTAATATTTCAATACATGCTTCCTCATGACCTGCCATTAAACACTTTGTTTGGATGATTCATTTAGACTGTTTGGAGTCATAAATATCAATAAAAAAAAATCTCTTGTGGTTCTCTGTAAAAAATGTCACCCAAGATGCTCTCTGACTTTAAGTAAATAGTTCTCGTCCAATTACAGAGAATATAGTCATTTTTAAAGCACTGCCAACATTTAGTCTTTTACTGGCAGCTGGAGTTACCTCATCAAAGTACAAAAGGGAAGTAAAACCTGAAGCAAAAAGTCTCAACTGCTTCACAGTCACAGAACCCGAATCCTGCAGCATCCAGTTCCTCTGCCTGGCCAGTTTCTCTCTCTGTGTCTGGAGAACAACACTTTTCTGTTTGCAGGGCAGGAGCATTAAAAGGGGAACAGAGTCTGCCAAGTCTAACATCATAAAAATCAACATGCTGTCTGTTTCTGCCGCAGCCACCGGAAATCCACAGAGCCAGGCCAGCCTCACCTCCACGGCCCGGTGCATTCAGGGGAAGGCCTGAAAACACTCAATTTATAACGGATCATAAACGTGTTGCACAACAGGAACATTATAAGGCTCTCAGAGAAGCTTGGAGAAAGCTTCAGCCTGGAATTCAGCTTTTAATGACTATTAATGGATACAAACGGCCCATCTGAAAGCTCCCACTGGTGAACTGGAGGTCGTTCCTCTTCGTTGAATCAGGAGGTTTTGCTACCGGGATATTTAGAGGAAACGTAAAAGAGTCTGTGCACA